TTGTATCTGTGTTCTTATTCACCTCTAAGAATTTTTAAATCTCCTCCTTGATGTCTTTTGCAACCCATTGCTCATTCAGTACTATATTATTTAGTCTCCAGGTGTTGATGAAGCTTTTATTTTTTATTTGATCATTGATTTCTAATTTTATTCCATTATGGTCTGATAGATGCAGGGAAGTATCTCTACTTTTTTGTACTTGCTAAGAGTTGCTTTGTGGCATAATATATGGTCTATTTTAGAGAAGGATCCTTGTACTGCTTAGAAGAATGTGCATTCGCTTGTTGAAGATATATATGTCAATTAAATCTAAGTTATTGATTATATTATTGAGTTCTATAGTTTCTTTATTCAGCTTTTTTTGGAAGATCTATCTAGTGGTGAAAGAGGTGTGTTAAAGTCACCCAGAATTACTGTGTTATGGTCTATTTGACTGTTGAACTTAAGAAGAGTTTGTTTGATGAACTTTTGGGGGCATATATATTTATAATTGTTATGTCTTGTTGATGTATGGTTCCTTTGAGCAATATGAAGTGTCCTTCTTTGTCCCTTTTGATAAACTTTAGCTTGAAGTCTACTTTATTTGATATGAGGATGGAAACCCCTGCTTGTTTCCACAGTCCATGTGAGTGGTATATTTTTTCCCAACCCTTCATCTTCAGTCTGTGGATGTCTTTTCCTATGAGATGAGTCTCATGAAGGCAGCATATTATTGGGTCTTTTTATTAAATTCAATCTGCTAGTGTATGTCTTTTGATTGGTGAGTTTAGGCTATTAACATTCAGGGTTATTATTGAGATATGATTTGTATTCCCAGCCATTATTGTTTATTTTTGGTATTTAACTTGACTTGATTTCTTCTTTGATTAGTTTTTCCTTTAGTGTAACACCTCCCTTTGCTAATTTTCCTCATTGTTTTTCATTTCCTCTTCATGGAATATTTCGCTGAGGATGTTCTGTAGTGCAGGCTTTCTAGTTGTAAATTCTTTTAATTTTTGTTTATCATGGAAGGTTTTTATGTCATCATCAAACCTACAGCTTAATTTTGCTGGATATAAGATTTTTGGTTGGCATCCATTTTCTTTTAGAGCTTGATATATGTTGTATCAGGATCTTCTAGCTTTCAGGGTCTGGGTTGAAAAATCTGCACATAATCTAATTTATTTTCCCTTATATGTAATCTGATTCCTTTCTCTTGTGGCTTTTAATATTCTCTCCTTATTCTGTATGTTAGGCATTTTCAGTATAATGTGACTTGGTGTGGATCTGTTGTGATTTTGTACGTTTGGCATCCTATAAGCCTCTTGAATTTGGTTTTCCAATTCATTCTTTATGTTTGGAAAATTTTCTGATATTATTTCATTGAATAGATTGCTCATTCCTTTGGTCTGAAACTCTATTCCTTCCTCTATCCTAATAACTCTTAAATTTGTTCTATTTATGTTATCCCATATTTCTTGAATGTTCTGCTCATGATTTCTTATCATTCTCACTGTGTTGTCTACATTGTTTTCAAGATTATATATTTTGTCTTCATTGTCTGAGGTTCTATCTTCCAAGTGGTCTAATCTGTTGGTGATGCTTTCAATTGAGCTTTTAATTTGGTTTATTGTTTCTTTCATTTCAAGGATTTCTGTTTTTTTTAAGTACCTGTATCTCCCTAAGGTGATCTTTTGCTTCATGTATTTGTTTATGTAGCTCTTTGTCAAAATGATCTTTTGCTGCCTGTGTTTGCTCTCTTATATCATCCTTTAATTCACAGAGTATTTTAATCGTGTACATCCTGAATTCCTTCTCTGTCGTTTCTTTTGCTGTGCTGGCCATGGATTCTAATAATATGGTATCTTGATATGTTTGGGGCACTTTCTTCCTTTGTCTTTTCATATTGCTTGTGTGTCTTCCCTTCTAGCACTGTGGATCTGAGGTATTACCATTTTTAACCCTATAGGCTTATAGTGCCCCTGTTGGGATCCAATACCTCTCCTTTGAGGTGAAGGACAATGTTATCAGATCCAAATATAAACAGTATTCACACTGAAAATAAATGCTTGTGATTAAGACATTTGCAGTTTCATCACAATATACAGAAATGGTGAATTCAATTATTATCTACAATATACTCAGTAGGTTTGTAAAAGGGTTTACAGTTTCTGATGGTGGACAAAGAACTGAAGGTGAGGAGAAGGATGATATGCTGAGGAGGTAGGAGGTGAGGATATAGTTATTATATCTTAGGAAGTGTGAAAGAGAAATCTAAAGAAGAATATTAGTAGAAGGAGAAGGGAGAGGAAGTAATTTTGGGTAGACAAGTAAGTGGGACGACAGTAGAGTACACAAAACAAACACACATATATATTGAGAAAAATTAAAAATGTTAAAATATTAGAAATTGGTGGGATAAAAGAAAATACATATATATTCAACACAGCTGCAATATCTTATTCAGACGCCCCAGTCCTCAAAATCCTACTTCATGCAACGTACTTGGTTTCACATATGTTGGAGATGTGAGGGCAGAAGAACAGGGGAGGGGGTGGAGGAAAAAAAATCTTGAAGGAAGAAACTAGATTGTTTTGGTCAGAAATCCGAATCTTTCCTGCTTCCCTTCTCATCCAATAGGTTGGGTCATCTGTTGTTAGCTGGTACCTCTGCCCTTGGGGTGGTGAAATTAACCAGGGTGTCACTGTGCCAGGTAGTGGCTGCTGGGGAAACAGGGGAATTAGAACCTGGGTATCTGACCGGCTGGAGTTCCAAACTGGGTGTTGCCCCCCACTGAAGAGAGTGATGAAGGTGGCCATGCTGCTTTCAGCAGTGGGCTGTCGAATTGTGTGGGGGGAGCCGACCAATGATGTTGGAGGATGAGTTCAGAGACAAGCTCGTGCAGTGTGTGGCTGTGGGCTTACTTCAGAGTCTATGTGAAGTTCTTGGGTTCAGGCAGGCCACTGCGTGCAGTATCTCCACTGTTGCAGAGCCCCAAGATGGCAGCGACTGGGGGAGCCCCCGATGGGGGTCCACACAGGAGTGGCGACTGGAGTTCCTGCCATGTGGGAAGTGCCAGATGTCCTACGTGGGAGTGGCTTCAGTGATTTCTGCTGGGGTGGGTGGCTAATAGTTCTGCACAGGTGTTGATGGTGCCCATGAGGGTACCCAATCGTCCTGCGTGGGCAAGAAGTTGAGAGACCTACTCTCAAATACACCCATTTAAATAGAATAATGTGCAGCTGTTGGAGTGAAAAAAAGGTAGCTCTAGATGTATGGATACAGAAGCTGTGATGACAAACAAAATTCAGGGTGTAAACATTAAAAATGTACCTCTAGCCAGGCATGGTAGCACACGCCTGGAATCCCAGTGACCTGGGAGGCTGAGGTAGGAGGATCATGAGTTCAAAGCCAGCCTTGGCAACTTAGTGAGGCCCTAAACAACTCAACAAGACCCTGTCTCTAAAAAATTATAAAAAAGGGCTAGGGACGTGGTTCAGTGGGGAAATACCCCTGGGTTCAATCCCTGGTAACAAAAAGAAAAAAGAAAAAGAAAATGCACCTCTAAATAGGTATTAGTATATGCATAGTGGGGAAAAAACTGCCAAAATTCACACTACACTGATTGCGCTGGTTACCCAATAGCAAGATGAGATTAGAGAAGACATTTCTACATTTAGATTTTAATATTGACTAAACTCTTACGAGGAGTGTTATTACTTATATAATCAGGAAAAAAAAGATAAGACAATTCTATGATATTGATAATAGTCAAGAATGGAGAGAGGGTTATTATCTTCAGGAGTGGGCAAATTTCAAAAGGTGCAAACCAGGTCTGTATGTGGAATTTGCACATTCAGGCAGGGAGAAGTGTTGCATGCCATGTTGACTCACAATAGTGCCTCAGTAACCCCTAATAATTAAGATTGGAATAATAGAATAGATACAGTTTGTTTTTTTTCTCCAGTTCACCACAGTCTAGGTACTTATTGCCTGTCCCAACCAGCACGGCCAAACTATCAGGTTCCAGCAAGGGGCTATGGGAGATTGGAAGAGATAGTCAATACACGCAGATCTTGAAGATAAAGCTGGGGTCCAATGGAATGATGCTCTCTGATGGAGAAGCAGGTCTAAAGAATTACACCAGCAATCTTTATTATATATGTCTCTAAATCAGATTAAAGATTATGCAGGCATTATTCTTTGTATTCATGAAAGTTACAGAGTTAGCAACAGTATGCAGTTGTTTCCTCAGTTACATTCTACAGTTGCAATGTGCAATGTTAGGAGAATTATGCAGCTCTCAAGAAAGTTCATTGTTTAAAGTTACTAATTCGAGAGTAGATTCAGGAGCAGCCGAACTGGTAAAATGTTGTTATCTTAGCAAGGAAGTTCCTTCATTCCCAGGAGCTGCTGTGCCTGAGATTAAGGTCGAAGCTGATAAGACTCTAGCATGGAGGACATCTCCATTAGCAACTGGGCAGCCTATGCCTTTGCACAAAAACTTTCCCAGTCACCAAGTATGCCACAGCCATGAAGTCATAAGGGACCCCAGTCTCAGACACTGGTCTCCCAGTCACTGTCACCACTCTCCACAATTGCCCAAAGCTCACAAAACAGGTTTTGTGCTATGAGGTTATTGCAATGTAAGGTCATTTAATATTCCTGCTTATTGCTCCCAGATAATCAGTTCTCTCCTGTTCCTTTTCCAACATCTTCTCAGTCCTTTTTCAAAAAGTGGACACAAGAGGGCAGCAGGTCCACATAGAAGGAGAGCACTCAGGCATTATAATCATAAAAAGCAAAACGGTAATGCCTTCATAAAAATATCACCAAAAGTTTAGAGAGTTCAGCATCTTGCTCTAAATGTGTGTGCAACCACATTTGATATTCTGTTAGAAAAGATAAACAATAGGTGGAAAAGAGTCATGCTGGTGAGAGGAGCTAATGTGTTTCTTTCTCTTCCAGATACTGGCCAATAAGAGGTGAGATAGAACAGAGAGCCATCTAGGTAGAACCTAAGAATTAATCCCAATGCAAATTCTTGCACCAGGATGGAAGGTGAATCATTCTTCAATGCAACTATGGTTAACAGCACCCTGGTAAATCACCAGCCTTTGGAGCGCCATGAACTATGGGAAGTTGTTACTATCGCAGCTGTGACTGCTGTGGTCAGCCTAGTCACCATCGTGGGCAACGTCTTGGTCATTATCTCCTTCAAAATCAACAGTCAGCTCAAGACAGTTAACAATTACTACCTGCTGAGCCTAGCCTGTGCAGATCTCATCATTGGGGTCTTCTCCATGAACCTCTATACCACCTACATCCTCATGGGACGCTGGGCTCTTGGGAGTCTGGCTTGTGACCTTTGGCTTGCACTGGACTATGTGGCCAGCAATGCTTCTGTCATGAACCTTCTGGTGATCAGTTTTGACCGTTACTTTTCCATCACAAGACCCCTGACATATCGGGCCAAGCGTACCCCAAAGAGGGCTGGCATCATGATTGGCTTGGCCTGGCTGATCTCCTTCATCCTCTGGGCCCCAGCCATTCTCTGCTGGCAGTACTTGGTTGGGAAGCGGACAGTACCACCAGATGAGTGCCAGATCCAGTTCCTCTCTGAGCCCACCATCACTTTTGGCACGGCCATTGCTGCCTTCTACATCCCTGTTTCTGTCATGACTATCCTCTACTGCAGAATCTACCGGGAAACAGAGAAGCGAACCAAGGACCTGGCTGACCTCCAGGGTTCTGACTCTGTGGCTGAAGCCGGGAAGAGAAAGCCAGCTCACAGGGCTCTGCTCAGGTCCTGCCTTACCTGCCCTCAACCTACTCTGGCACAGAGGGAAAGGAAGCAGGCCTCCTGGTCATCCTCTCGCAGGAGCACCTCCACCACTGGAAAGCCATCCCAAGCCACTGACCCAACCACCGACTGGACCAAAGCTGAGCAGCTCACTACCTGCAGCAGCTACCCCTCCTCAGAGGATGAGGACAAGCCCACCACTGACCCTGTCTTCCAAGTGGTCTACAAGAGTCAGGAGAAGGAAAGCCCAAAGGAAGAATTCAGTGCTGGAGAAACAAAGGAGACTTTTGTGAAAGCTCAAACTGAAAAAAATGACTGTGACACCCCAAAATACTTCCTGTCTCCAGCAGCTGCTAATAAACTCAAGAGTCAAAAATGTGTGGCCTATAAGTTCCGATTGGTGGTAAAAGCTGATGGGACCCAAGAGGCCAACAATGGCTGTCGCAAGGTGAAAATCATGCCCTGCTCCTTCCCAATGTCCAAGGACCCTTCAGCGAAAGGCCTTGATCCCAACCTCAGCCATCAAATGACCAAAAGAAAGAGAATGGTCCTTGTCAAAGAGAGGAAAGCTGCCCAGACCTTGAGTGCCATTCTCCTGGCCTTCATCATCACATGGACCCCTTATAACATAATGGTCCTGGTGTCCACCTTCTGTGACAAGTGTGTCCCTGTCACCCTGTGGCACTTGGGCTATTGGTTGTGCTATGTTAATAGCACCGTCAACCCCATCTGCTACGCCCTCTGCAACAGAACCTTCAGGAAGACCTTTAAGATGCTGCTTCTCTGCCGATGGAAAAAGAAAAAAATTGAAGAGAAATTGTACTGGCAGGGGAACAGCAAGCTACCCTGAAGAGTTCACATCTCCCGCAAAAGAATAATGACCATGTCTTGTTTATGTGTTTTTAAAATGTCATCTGTCATTTAGAGTCCCTGAATAGTGTTCTAAATTGCCAAAAGAAAGGTGTTACAGGAGGTAATTGCTGCGGATACTAAAAGATTCTTGCCTATCACCACTAGAGTTTACCAATGAGGTAGACAGAACCGTGACCTTTCACTGGAAGCACACTCAGGTCACAAGGAACAATGACCTATAGAAACATTTATCTAGTTTTCTGTGGGGCACAGCAGGGACCAGATGGAAACCCTCCCTTGTGGAAACCTGTCATAGAGTTTTGTGCAATATTTGTCTACGAAGTTGTCTTGTACCGGTAAGAATCAGGAGAATGTCAGTATCATCTATTAAGAAGAATGATATTCAACTGACTTCTAAGAATGTCTTCTTCATAAACTAATCGGTATTTATTATGCAGCTGTTACGTGTTCTGTATTGTGTTATGTTTTCCTGCCCCTACATCTGAAGGAAGCTATTGATCTTCCCTGTCATGACCATGTCAATTCCTGTGCCCACTCAAACCACGCTGATCTCCACGGAACCATTGTTCCTCTTAGAATCTGGGTCCAGAAAGATACTGGGACTTGTAAATACCCAGTGCTTTAGAGGGGCACCTATTCTGCAAATAAAGATAATTTAGTCTCTACAGTCAGTTATTTTCATTTTTACCAGTGGGATTCTTTTTAGATAAAACCAAAAATATATATTGTGTGTTCTATTTTGTGCCCATATGAAGCTATTTACTTGTGCTATGTTTGTAGGAGGACTAGTAGTATAACAGCCTTCATTGGTAAAGATCTTCTCCAGGATATTTAATCATGGTTCTTTTATACTGTTTTACCAGAGCTTGCTTTATAATTTCTTCACAAGACAAAACTGAAGCAAAATGGAAAAATAGATTCGGTTTCACTTCGGGCTTTTGAATTTCTCTAGGAGCCCTTTGGAAAGTCCCTGGTTTCCCTCATGCAGACCCCTAGATCACACTCAGGCACAGGCAGGTCACTGTGCTGCCTCCAGGCAGAAGTGCTATGTAGGGCACACAGAAGAGAAAAGCTTTATTTTTCTAAAGGTCCTTCAAACAGGGATGCAGAAATTATTTATTTATTCATTCCTTGCCAAATACAGTCAAAGATGAGAAGCCCAGAAAAGCCCAACTGAGGTTCATCGGAGCCAACTTAAAAACAAAATTTTCAGCTAGAGGGGTGTTGCTCTGTAGTAGAGCACTTGCCTAGCATGTGGGAGCATTTGTCTAGAGTTAAGCTCCATCAGCAAAACAAAACAAAAAAGTGAAACCTTCATCTTTAAAAACAGGTCATAGTAATGCATAAAAATAAAAGTTACACACATTAGAGGATTGGGATCATTAAAAACCAATTTAACTGAAATTTCTATATTTAAACAAACTGAATCTAAGATGCTTCTTTGAAGCTTCTGAAAATAAAATAATGTACAAGAAATTGAAACTATGAAATAGATCATAAAATTAATGAAAGATCCACAAAGAAATCAGCACAGTGGTGCACAAAGAGTTCAGAGATGAGGCACTCCCATCAGAAGACCAGTCTTCAACAGGTTGACTATATCTGCTGCTGTGAGTGAAAAGCTCCAGACTTCATTTGACTTAATGTAAGCTAGCTTTTTTTCCAACTTCATTTGCTAAGAAAATGGAAAAAAGGGCCCCTTTAGTTGTTCTGGGAGTTAGTTATATACTTGAGTACAAGGAGAGCTTCCACCTACCCCTGAAGAGTAATCCTCTAGGTGACGTGCCAAGGAGGCTTCAAGGTGGGAGACTCTCTCACGAGGACAAGGCTGGTCCACCCAGGCCTTTCTTCTAGCCCTGTAGGGACTTGACCCTGGGATGAAACATCTTGGAAGCACCATAGCTGCTGAGGCTTTGTGAAGGGCAGGTTAAGACCTGCCAAGAATCTAGTGGAGAATATTAATTAATTGGCTCAGTTCTTCAGAACAGAGGCTCCCAGGCCTACATGATATCAACAGAGTGAGACTTCATAAGCAAACCTACTCCACCAACTCTAGATAAACGGTTGATTCTTTCCATTTAAGGATTTGGTTCCTGACAAAAATGAAAATCACTCCATGAGAATAGCAGTTTAAGCCCATATTGGGCATTCATTGTTCATAGTAGAGAGATAAGCCAATTCAAACAAAAGAATGCAGAACTGGATCAGGGATGGGGTGCTGTATTCCTTCTTTATCCTTGGCTTTGGAAGGCCCCAGTTTTGCAGAATATCCATGCCCCTTGATATAGACAAAAAAAAAAAATGCCCCAAACTACTAAGGAAAACTAGACTTCTCTAGAGTAGGTCCTTGAGTGGAGTCCCCAGAATGAGCAGATCCAACTGTAAACAAAAGGGACTGGGTGCATGTGTGAATGGGGCTTGAGCTGACTTTAATCTTAGGCCTTCTATGCCCCCAGTCTCCCAAGCTCTGCCTACGGTAAATACAGCTCTGACGGTCTGCTGAATGCTGTTTTGTTGCTAACAATGTGATTTGTTTCTCTTCAGCTATGAATTTGATGGCCTGTCATGGAATCTTTGTTTTCTGTACAACTTTTGGTTAAACAAAGCATTTAGTCAATATTCCTGGCCTCTGCTTTGCTCCTTTGGTGAATGTCCTTTGAGGTGATGTTGGCTTTTTGTAATTGTGAAATCTGCACCTAAACCTCTGCATTGGAATATCCAGTTGTCTTCTGTAAATACTGGAACTACAGCAAAACATTTGTATTGTCCTAATACTATTCTGGATATTAAAGAAATGTAATCACACAGTGGTCCAGTGCTAAGTGAAGTCATCATGTTAGATCCATCCATGTTAGGGTCCACACCTTTGTATGCCCACACCTTTATAGAAAAGAAGGAGTATGAGTGTCTAATATGGATGTGTGTCTCTCTTGCTACCTGTTGTGATTCCCAGTTTGTTCCTCCAAGTTACCAATGACCAATTAAGAGTAAATAATGATGATGAGAGGTCTGTAACTAAAACACTTCCTGTCCCTCCACAAGGGAGGTGGGCAGACCTTGCATGATGGCCCTTTATCAGGTAAAGTAGATACGGAACAGCCATGTTTCCTGTTCAGTCAGATCATTCTAAGTGATACTAATTTCCATCTGCCTCATGTCACTTCACCAGTAAAGTTCAAGATTACATAAACTCTCAGCCAAGAAAAGCCCAGGTTGAGAGTGGGAGGGAGAAGGAAAATAAATGTGTCATGGAAGAAACCAGAAACACATTTTTTTAAAAACAAACTTTTTTGAAATAATTTTGAGCTTGCAAAAGAGCTGTAAAAATAATACAAATAACTCTTACATTCCTCACCTACATTATGCACTTAACATTTTGCCACATTTGTGTGTGCATTCTCTCCATGTGTGTACACATTTGCATGCACATCTTTTTCCTCAACCATTTGAGAGTAAATTCAGACATTATGTCCATTTACCTCTAAATTTCTTAAGAACAAGGTTATTTCACAGGCCAAATGCAGTGGCATACACCTGTAATTCCAACTACTCAGAAGGCTGAGGCAGGAGGATCACAAATCTGAAGCCAGCCTGGACAATTTAGAAGATCCTGTCTCAAAAATAAAATTTAAAAAGGGCTGATGATGTAGCTCTGTGGTAGAGTGCTTGCCAAGCTTGAGCAAGGCCCTGGGTTCAATGACTAGTACCACAGAAGAAAAAAAAAAGGGTAGGGGGGAGAAAAAGAAAGAAAGGCTATTCCACAATACAAATATGAAAATCAGAAACTTTGACTTTGCTACAGTACTATTATGCAATCTATAGTCCATATTCAAATTTTACCAGTTACCCAAAGGATTTTTACTTTAAGGATGTCTTTTCCAGTTAAGGATCGAATTCAAGACCTCAGAGTGCGTTCAGTAGTTAGGTCATGTTTAGAAACCTTTAATCTGGAAGAGGTCCTCAGGTTTTCTTTGTCTTTCATAATATGGTTGTTTATAAGAGTACTTACAGTTCAATTTTTATAGTATTGAATTTTAGAGTTTTCTCCCATAATTGTTAATTTAATTTTATTTTATAAGTAAAATATCTGTATGTTTGTAAACTATACAAAAAGATACACTCAAAGAAGTGTCACTGCATCTTCTACTTCTTTCATCCCATTTATATCTTCCTTATAGGTAACATTTTTTTCAGTCTCCAGTTTTCCCATTTTTTAAAAAAAAAAATTGATTTAGTCATAGTTGGACACAATACCATTATTTTATTTTTATGTGATGCTGAGGATTGAACCCAGCACCCCACCTGTGCTAGGCGAGCGATCTACTGCTGAGCCACAATCCCTACCCCCAGTTTTCCCATTTTTGTTTCTTTTTTATTTTAATAAACTTTTAGCCATTTTTAGGCATTGTATCCATGGTAAAAATATTATACATATACTTTTATTTTGGTTTCTAAAATTTAAGAAAATATTTACTGACTTTCTGCTATGAAAAATAAAGAATTGATTCTTCCATGGTGATAGCTACTTCCCAAACAGCCATCCCTCACCTTTCAAAGCTGTGCATACATGGGCATGGGTACTTCTATGAGAAGATCCTTTGTTGGGTACCATATGCTCTCCATCCAGCTAAAGATGTGGGTCGTAGGGAAGAAGACATAGTTTGCAGCTTGTTGGAGCATCTGCTGTTACTCAGAGCATCTGCTGTTACATCAAGTAGAACAAGTTGGACAACTCTGGACACATTGAGTAATAACAGGAAAAAGACTGACTCAGTTATATATTCACATTAATCTCAAAAGGGGCACAGTCAGCATTATCCTCCAATAGATTGCACTTTCCCTCATCTCCTGTCATGATTCATTAATTAATATACATGTTGATGGTGGTGGAGGAGGTAGGGTACAACCTTATATGTATCTGTGACCTGTGCTTGGGCAAAGAAAGCCAAGCCTGATTTTGCTCATTGCACTTGACTGTCATTCTCACCTGTCTAAGTCAGTGTGTCTCTCTATCTGCCCCAAAGTCCTAATTTCTTATTTTACATGGCTCTTAAGT